ATAAAGTATATATTAAAATATATTTGTTTTGAAACTTAAGGAAGAACTTTGCTTTGATAGACTTTGTGAAAGTGTTGTTAACTTGCCTTGAATGTAAACAAATTTGTTTTTGGTTTTTTTTGTTTTCTTTTTAAGTAGAATATATTTTTCAATATCTGCCCAGAAAAAAATCTTAATGATTCATTCAGTTGAATAATTCAAAATCTTGAAAACTACATAATTCTCCACAACATCCACAGCTTTGTAAAGAGAACTCACAAAACAAAAAAGACAAATCGAAATGCAGTGAACTTTAATATTTTCTGTATTTAGCAAATAATTTGAACAATTTGCACAATCAACGCACATTAGAGAGACGATATTGTTCCATGTTTTGGATTTCATCAACATGCTGCAACATTGTCTTACCGTGGCAGACATTTTTGTAGTTTGTGCAGCAGTCTCCTGCCAGCAGGCAGTCTTCAGAGCAGTGACATTTGCTCTCCGTCAGCCTCTTCTCACCGCAGCGCAGCTTCGTGCATTTCCACTGCTCGGCTGAAACAAACATTCAGGAAGTTAAGAACAACACAACCGCAGCAAAGTACACACAACTAATATATTTTGTGTATTTCTCTTTCTTCAGTTGGTTTGTGAGTGATGCTTTGAACTTTTGTACTCTACAATAGGCATCCAGGAAATGCTGATTTCTACTGTTACCGGAGCAAGGAGGAAGACACAACGTGAAAAACAACGTCTTACTCGGAAGGGTGCAAAGGTCATAGTAGTCGTGACAGCAGCTCTTGCTGAGAACGCAGTTCTCGTCACATCTGCAACCTGGGACCTCATCGTCAAAGGGCTCGTAACATCTGTTCCTGCAGGATGTTTGTGGGACGCCTAAAGGATATGAAAGCATTTATTGAAGAGAGACTGTATAGCAAATAAGAAACGTGTTGGCTACGAAAAGATCACAATAAAGTGCCAACCTTTAAACAATGAGGGTCGTATTTTTTTTTTTTTTTGTGTAAGTTGTGTAGTCTGGGCTTTTTCTTGATTTGTCCGTTTCTTTTTTTTTTAAATGTGACTACCGTTTTGTGCCTAAATTCTTGCTAAAATAAAATAAATTGAGGATGTTCTTGGCGTTCATCACAGGCCTTTGGCTCAAAGCACTGTGGGAAAAACAAAAGTCTTCATCACCTCCCTGACGAACACTCAACGGGTGATTTTTATGACACAGAACTTGTGTTTTGTCTCCGTCCAGCTGCTGTTAAGAAGAAATAAACACATGATGCTGACTCAGTTATACAGACTTGAACTAAAGTAAATAAAGATCACAAAAAAAAAAAATTCCTCTATCTTGTTATTATATTTTTTCTTACATTACGTTTAAAAAAAATCAGTTTCAGATACTGCATAAATCCAAATATGGCTTTGGTTTCAACTTAACTAATATATAT